TGCTGTTATGTGCTGGACTGTCTCAGAGGCCTAAGTTAAATTCAGGGCAATCCTGGCAGAAAACTAATAAGAAGCTACAAAATACCTGAGAGTGGGGAGTGATACACCTTCAACCAGGACGACAAACTAAAACACACAATCAAAGCTGCAATGGGATTGTATACCTTAGCACATTTATGTGTTAGAACAATTCAGTCAAAGTTGACCAATATCAAATTGGGAATCTCTTGCAAAATTTAAAGACAAATGCTCTTCGTTTAATCTGACTGAGCTCGAGCAATTTCACTAAAATAAATTGTGAGACATTTCAGTCTCAACATGTCTAAAATCAGTGGAGAGACACCCCAAGGATGTCCAGAGGTAATTGTGCGGAATGTTGGCTCAACAAAGCATCTATGTATGGGGTCAAAATACAAATCAATGCCAAACTTTTCAGATTGTTATCTGTGAACATTTTTAGAACAATATTGGGCTTTGATTTGAATCTTACTTCACAGTAAGGCAACACAATTCTGTTGGTTTACCACATATGCAATAAAATATGCTTACGTTTATGGTAACCTGTCAAAATGTTAAAATGCCTTTTCAAGGTGTGTGTGTATTTGTGTACTTGTTTCTCTTGGCACATCATTGAGGCTATGTTTCTGTAAATTCTAAAAGGCACTTATGAGGAAAAAGGAAAAGTCATAATTTAATACATAATGGAGAGAGAGAGAGAGGGTATAATGATAATAGTAACAAGTTTTTAACATGCTATGCTATCTTATTTTAACAAGTTTGCTTCATCAAGATCAACATGGTAAAACATGACATTTTGAGAAATGTCAGTGATAAACTGTGATCCAAGATGCTGTCTAAAGATAATAGGAAACTGCCATTATCTGTGAAAACGAGACATCAGTCTTTTTCTGACAGAGAAGGGAACGCTTATCAAACAAAAGACAACGGCTTTTGATGGATGATATTTAAGAAAGTCAGGTTATAATTCTTGATAATCAGAAATGGCATTTAGGCACTTGCATATGCATTTCTCAAAAGAAGACACTTCGTTTCTAGCACAAAGAGTTAATTCGAAAAAAAAAAAAATAGACCATGTGCATTTTGTGTTTACCAGCAAAGGTTTCTGGGAAGTCGTTCTCATGGTAACCACCGTAAACACAACCGCCTTTCTCTCTGCCTCCTCCTTGTGCCTACCCTTGCTGGTCTCGGCTCTGCTGCGGCTCCAAAGCCGGTAAAAATGGCGGGGTCGACTTACAGCGAGGACCGCTACTATGCAAAGATAGCGTCTATTCAGCAAAACATGCATAAAAGGTAAGCTTCCTCTCTGTTCTTTCTTACCAGGAGCGTCGGGCCGAGGTAGACTAGGGGCTCGAGTTGTAATCTCTGCCGCCTGGTGGTGTCCTTATGCCGCGCGACTCGGGCTAGCTATGCGGCGAATTTGAGGGGCTAATTATCTCTGAGGCTAACTTAAGCTAACGGAGGTAAACCTAGGAGCTGCTCTTGTGTTCATACTTGAATACTTGTCAAAGTTAATCTCTGTTTATTGATTGAGCTACTGTGTGTTTCTTTTATGAGACTGCATGCTAGTAAATAATAGCGTTAATGCTCTTAATAATTAGTCTAGAAATACCTTTTATGTGCTAAGCTATTTAGGTCTTTGAGGGTGCTGGAATCCCCTCCTTGTGGTTTTGGTCGTTTTGTACGTAACTTTGTCAGGTACAAAATGGAGCTATTTACCACCGGACGTTTAGGACTTACTATACCGTATTCGTACAAAGCAAATGGGCAGGTGTAAAAAGTTTAAAGTACAATACACATGACATTTAAGTGTTTTATGTAAGTGTACCTCCTACAAAAGAAAAAACAAAATTATATGCAATGGTTAAGTAGTTATATGGACGGAAAAGGTTTGTTTACAGACGCAATATGAATGTAAGAAGGGACAACATGGAATTGGGTGGGTATGAGAGGGGGTCATTATTTCACTAAGGGGCAATTGACCAGAATGATACCTTTTGTTTACTTGTTTCATGCCTTTATGCAGTGAGAAGCACAGACTGGAGCTGGAGAGGGAGCTGTTTGCTTACTCCAGATCAGATGCAAGAATGTAAGTTTCACCAGCTGACAAAAATAAGAATATGTGGACATTTGAACTTCTCATTTTTGCTTTTTTATTATTTTGTTTATTTATTTATTTTTTCACATTTGCTTGCACATGTGTGCTGTATGGTATTATTATTCACTCTCCAGAGGAAATCTCTACATTGCAACAAAAACAGCCGTTCAGTAAAGTATCAAACAATAGTATAAATTGATTTCTAAAGATTTTATTCTTATTGTTCTAAAAATAATTTTAAAATGCTTAAGTCTTTGCCTTTGGTGAGAAACAGTTTTACCTTCGTGTTATGAATCATTATTTTTCTAACAACGGAGAGGTCATTGTTAGTATGAGGCAAAAGGTACCTAATATAAGGTTGTTCTTTATGAAAATTTGCATCTGGCTAACATGTCATTGTAATAGCTCCATTTTGTACCTGGCAAAGTTACGTACAAAACGACCAAAACCACAAGGAGGGGATTCCAATGACAGCGACAACTTAGCAAGAGTATTATAAATGGTGTCTGAGCCTTAGCAGGGTGTTTTCAGTCTCATTCATATTCACATTTCAAGTCAAAACAGCAAAGCTCATGTTGATATGAGGCTTCTGAGCAAGCTTCAAATTTAAATCATATTGTGCTTAACCTTTTCTTATGAGAGGTCTACCTCTTAGTTTTTGACAATGCTCTCAGATAATATTTCCCTTGAATAACACTTCTCCATTGCCTTCAGCTTGCAGATAAAGTGTTCCAAACTGCGCAGCTATCTCAAAGAAATCTGTGGCAGGGAAGCACGAGCGAAAATGAGAAACCTTCAGCTTAAGAGAGATGTGGAGTGCATGGAAATTAGCATGAAGGAGTACAGTTCTGACCATGGGCCCCTGCAACAACAAAAGGTACTACATTCACTGACACTGCTATGTATTTAATAACACAGTTTCAGATTGCTTATGTAGATTTTCCCTTGATAAAAGCACTATCAACAGACTGCAAAATCCCCAACCCGAGCAAATATTTTATTCATAATCTGATTAAAAAACACCTCTAGCGGTAAACAAATGACTTAAAGAAAAAGATTACTTCAAACACATTTTGCACACATTAGCTTAATTGCCACATTGTACATTTACTACTTAGAAAATGCATAGTAGACAAGTAGCCCATTGAAATTGCTCGCAGTGGCTTGATGTGAGCGAAGTAAACACTCAAACAGTGCAATTTATCACCACAAGCAAATGAAAAAGGGACAAAACAATGAGCCAGTCAGATTATCACTTAAAACTCAATGACAGTGCTTGACAGCTTAATATCAAATTAACAAAATTGGCTAATTATGACTCACTGAGTTAATTGCCCAATATAGAGACTCTGAAGTGCTCCAGAGGTTTAGTCATTCTCTCCCCTCAAGCAGTTGGTTTATTTCCTCTGAATGATTTTGAGCCCTATATGTTTGTTTTTGTTTTGGCGATTTTTAGCATCGCTCTTGCATTAATGGTTTTATTACCATGATTATGACACCTGAAAAAAGAAATATTCCTACACTAATTGGGGAAGGTTTTTTCTTTTTAAAATAAAAAAACATGTTAAAAAAAAGTGTATGTTTGAGCTAAACCAAGATTTATTGTTCGATTGAAATACAATTACTGTGTGAGTTTAGATTAAGGCAGTCAGTCAGATAAACGTTAAGGAGAGTATCTTATTCTACACCAGGCACGCTCACTTGAGTAAACTCGCTTTGACTGATAGCCTGCTGCTCCAAGGTTGCCACTTTAGGTTCTTTGTAGTCGTATAATATTGAGCACTGTTAATGGAGGTATTCCTTTTCTAATGCAGTGTGAATATGTTTATTTTTCTATATTGTATCTGGTTATTTAATACATTTTTTTTTATACAGGCTGACTTCTTAGAAAAGATTTCCAGATTCACTGAAGCGAGCAGCAAGACAGAGGAGCTGGAAGCAGCAAAGGTGAAAACTGTTCATATTTTGGTGCGATTAATTTTTTTTGGGATAAGACCGTCAAGCTTCTTGTGTATGCTACATTTTGTTGCTTTTGTGCTGCTGCTTTATATTTTGTGCTTATTTTGTTGGTTCTTTTTAACTCGTGCTCGATGCTCGTATTTAAAAAATGTTTACAAGTTTTATGCAAATTACAGACAGCTCTATCGGGGCTCTGTTTTCAGATTTAGGAGAACAGAAGAAAGCAGACATTATGCCTGGTAAATCTGTAGAGGAGTCTACGTTTAAACTGTGTATCTGTAATAGCACAGGTGTCTAATCCTTGCTGGGGAATCTGCACAAGCAGTGTAGTTCAAGCCCATAGCTGCTTTCTCCCTTCACTTAAAGCAGTTAAAGCTCTTTTAGATGAAATGTCTAAGACATCTCACAATAACTTGGAGCATGCTGTCTAGAGCAGTCACTTGTAACTGTGTGCAGCCCCCCCCCACCCCCCAACCCCCACTCCCTCAGCCTGTCGATATTGTAATGAGCAAAATGGTACCGTCACTCCATTATGCATACAAGCCATTGGCTGGCAGTGTGCATGTCCCTCAGGCTGCAGCATTCATTAAGGAAAGCTTACCGGGCTGAAAGCTGGAGACAGATGATAACGGGATATGATTTTCATATTTAATACATTCCTTGGAAGAGCACACGCGTGCCGCAGATTGATAGAAGAATCAATTGCTACTTTAGTGAAACACTTTCTACTTTGCCCTGCAGCTACCGATGGAATCACTCAGCCAAGAAATTAACTTTTCCTCTTTTTTTACCTACTTTGTGGATCTGCTGGGCAGGCTGCATGGGTTACAGTGAATGTTATTAAGCAGCTAACTGTTTGGTATTTAAGACTCTTATCAGAAAAGAAACAGAAGCTACGCTTTTTGTTGTTATGTTTGGAGGGAGGCTTTTTTTTTTTGCTCTTTTCTCTCTCTCTCTCTTCCCTCTTGGTGACATTGCAGACATGAATCAAAACTTGTCTAAAGGATTTTTCACAAGATTAAAAGTTAAAGCATTGATCCTGACACATTAGTGTAAAAAATAGTAAGAATAAAACTCTAACCTTTGCCCAAATAAACTACATTTCTTATGAATCAGGCTGGCGACATGTAGCAAGTGAATCTCAATAAATAAGGGTATTATTTTAAATTGTGTTTATGTGAGTTGCAAATCTACTTAAATCATATAGAGATTAATTTCACAGAGTGTGGAATTTGAAACCTTTTCATTTTCCATTATTATGGCTGACAAGTAATGGAAAATTCTGTGTTTTGGAAAACTTTAATATTACATAGCACCAATAATAAACGTAATTTTGATAATTTTGGTTATAATTGTAATACACAATCACTCGGAAGACTCCTGGCTTGATAGTTATCCAGCAGACAGTCATTGGCATCCTTCATGGATGAGGCATGAAACGTCATTGCTAAAAATCTGGCTGTTCAGACTGCTGTGTGCAAGGATTATTCTTGGAAAGTTTAGTTGAAGGGGAAAAACAAGCTGCCTAGATAAAATTTTGAAGCAATACCCAAGAGTTTGCATGGAACGTGGAGGGTTGAGAAGCTAATTTATAGTTGAGCTGGAATTAATGCTGCCACATTCTCCAATGCTGTGCCAAAAATACCAGCATAAATGCCACTTTCTGATCTCCTCCAGTGCCAAACAGTTATTAATACAAAGGAAACCAAAACCAAAGTATTGATTCTATATACTTTACAGTACCTGGACTTATGGCTCAAATAGCCGACATCGTTTTTTTTTTTTTTTTTTTTTTTTAAGTAGGTCTTATGATATAAAAAAACATGTTTTGTAAGATTCATGCCAAATTTTGAGATGAAGGTTTTAAGGTCTTGCTTTTTCTTCATTACAATGTTCCCACAACTCAGCGTCTAAAATCAAATACATTCACTTTGGGGATTTTGGAGAGTTTATGTTCATCCAACAGACTAAATATATTGTTGACCTTTAGATTTTTACTCTATGGCAGTTAAATATATATTGTCCTGCCAGATATGAATCTGTATACTGTATGGGATTTGTTATTTGAATTGTTTAAATAATTTAACTTTTGATTATAGTTTACCAAAACACTTCTAAATGTGTTAAATAACACTTTCCTTTTCAGAAATAAAACTCCAGATGAATGTTTTTCTGCTTTTCCTGAATGCAGATTAAAGCCGTGCAAAGACGACAGTGGGACAACAGCAAGAACTTTAAGCAAGTGGAAATTTTTATGGACCGCCAGACCTCCAGGGGCTATGATGCCGAAGCTGGCACCACAAGTGTACACTCACACCAAGCAGTGCAGCGATCGCCCAATCGCAGCGTTCAGCCGTGCGAACGTCTACCGAGTGGCCTTTTGAAGGACTTCAGAGTTGGCGGAGAGGATGCCGCCAGTAAGCGAGCGCATTTATCAGATGACATTTCAAGCTCAAACGATTCCCCTGACGGCTGTAATTTGAGTGACAAACATGAAAGAGTGTCGGGGCTGCTCCCATCTGCTCGCGCCTCAACAGCGGCAGCTGGTTGTGTGGCTTCTGCAAGTGATGATGAACGAGAAGCTTCACCTCTGGTGACCTTGACGAGGTCTGAGAAGAATCCATTTCCCGGCAACGGTAACCCTGCGATGGCTAAGAATCCCGCTGCAGAACCCACTGACTCCCAAGAGGTGGCTCGCAAGCCTCTCATAATGGGAGATGAAGAGAGAGGTCTTAGCCATTTGAAGCCTGAAACCACTTTCAGAAAAGGAGCTCAAGAGACATCAGGTTTGCAGTGATATTTCTTCCTTACTTCCTTGTTGTAGCTTTTATCTGCCTTCACAGAAACAGTTTTTAGCACTTTATTTTGCCCTTTGAAGTTTTTTATATTTTTCTTAAAAAAAAAAAAAACAAGTGATACTGTTTGGGTTGTTTACATTCAGGAAAATGTGAGAGTGTTGGAGAATCATGCTCAGATGTGCAGTTGTCAGAGAGCAGTTCCAGTGACCTGACAATTTCTTTGACACAATCGGAGCTCGAGGAGGATTTACCAGTGGAGGCAGCATCAGAGAGAAATACCTCTTGCAGAGGAAGTGGTGATCACAAACAGCATCGTCCTGATTCATCCCCCCACTCTGATGAGTCTAAGAACACAGAGCGGTTAAACGGTGAATCCTCAACACCGGGGGTGACTTTGAAAAGGTAAAGTATGTTTGAAGTGTTTTGGTTTCTGAAATTTTAAAGAGACTATCCAATGTTGTTTTGTTTTCACCTGTAAAGCTACACTGACAGCTAAAGTACTTCTGGGTAATGTTGCATGGATTTCCACTATTCAGGGTTTTACAAAATATAAGATTTGCACTGAAGAAAGAAATCTGCATTTCTTCCTTATTTGTGTTTGGGTTGATGACATCACAAGAGGGATGTGAATTTAGCTAATCATCGAGTCATGAACACTACATGACAAGAAACTTTTAATATAGCATTCAAGTTGTGTTTAAATACAAGGGGTTGAACTTTATGTTTTTGATGGCCCCCAAGACATGATGGATGGCGAACAGTGATAGTGAGTGTCTTCTGGACTTTAACTCTTAAGACTTTGTTCTATTTTCAGTATTTTCCATTTGAGTGGTGTCCCTACATATTCCTTACACAAACATCATCTCTCTGATCTCTCTCATCATTTGGGCCCACTCTTCTGTACAAAGTGCTTCCAATATATCTTACAGTTTTTTTTAAATAAAATTTGGATACGTGACTCTGTTAAACAACATCTATTAGTAGAAGGTCAAAGTTTTTGTTTGATCATCAGACGTTCTGTGTTATGTTAGAAAATCCTTGTGATCTTGTGATAAATTCACATTTCCTTAATTCTCTCTTTTATGCTTCCAAATTTTACTGTGACCTTTAACCCCTTGATTACTGTAATCAGTGTCAAGTGTTTGCATTCTGTACAGACTCCATTCTGAATTATCCTATTGAGATGCAAAGGGTGAACTTATGGTACTTTGACACATATATTAATTCACTATGTAGATGCAGTAATACTATATTCATGATATGTTGTGCAGCCTTATCTGGAGTATTAATCTGTCATATTTTATAGAAGTCAACAAGCCTAAATAGGGGATTTTGTAGGCAGTATACTTCTATATTTCCTAAAAATATTGAACTACACGGAAATATAGAAAATATGAAAACTGGTACAAAATTGTTTGTTTACAGGCACGAAATGGAAGCAGGAATAAATTAAATAGGAATGTGTACGTAAACAAGAAAACACCTGGAACAATTTGATAAAAACACAAAGAAAAATGGGAAAGAACAAAAAAATCTAATCAGTGGCTTTATGCCTTTTTTGTGTCATGAGAGACATTTTCACATGGACTGGTTTATGGAAGGATTCACTTTCCTCTTTTCTTATTTAAATTATTTGCATCAAACCAGCAAAATAAATCAAAACCAACTGACAACGGCACATTTTTTCTGTTTTCTTCTGTTATAGTACATTGTCCTTTTAGAATTGGCACAACTTAGTGAACCTTTTTCCAAAAACCTAAGCTAAGCTTGCATAAAAGAATGTTCTGCACGCTCATCCTGAACCACATTGCAGTTAGTGATAGTGGGTGAAGTTCTTTGCAAGTATCAAATCTGGGGCTGACAGAGAGGAGCTGAGGGAGTCACAGTCCATGCCACAGTGTTGTCTGCAGCTTCGCATTAGCAGTGGCTGTTGTGGCAGTGATGCATCTTATAGAGGGGAGAGCTCAGGACCTGTCCACAACAATATTGCCATAATCCAAGATAATGCTCTAACAGAGCAATTTTCTGCTTGAGAGACCTCAGGAAGTCCCCACTGGAGGAGGAAATTGTGGCACCATAGAGTGTTCTGGAGGGTGGGCATGTGGACAGCACTTACAGCCACAAATCCTTAGCGTGATGATGGCTTCTGAGTTGAAGGATCACTTTGGATGGAGTCGGAGTCACAGAAAACCCCATGTGAATGTTTTTGCACACAGTGCTTCTGCTTTTTCCCCTCTTCATATAAGCAGGCCCTTGTGTGCATTTTACAAACCACTTTATTTTTGTGCATTTGTAAACATATTTGTTTATTTTTTTTTTCTTCACTCTCCCCTTATGCTACATTATAGATTATACTCTGCTTACTGTACCTGTTATAAATATCACAAACCTTTCTGAGCACTGTCTAATTGGAAGCACATTATTTAAAAGTTGGTACAGCCTTTGTGTATTTCTAAAGGAGTTTGAAAGATTATATTTCCCCCCCTAATGATGCAGCAGGCACATTTATGTGTGGTCTAGCATACTTTTTATGCTGTGACCCTAAGAGGAGTTGCAGTTAGCCTGCAATGGAGAGACGACGGTGGGGGCTGCTGCCACCATTGTTAACACAGAGAGCTTCTGTGTCTGAGGAAAGAACCAGAGGCTTTGATGTAAAGCTCAGAGAACATCCAGCGTCTATCGTCTGCCTCTCTTTCCCTCTCCCTTAAGGTTAGAGTTTATATCGCTCCTTCTATTCAAACCCCAGTCCCAAGCAATTCATTAGATTATCCCATTATATTTTCTTCCTCCAGCCCGGACAGACTGAGAGAGACTGAAATATTGCCTGGGTTTCTTCTCATAATGGCCCCAGTGTGTCCGCCTCACAAATACAGTTTCACCTAACTGCACAATGTCTCGAGGCTTTTTGGTACTGCCAAGCGCCTTTAGTCCAAATTAAAGAGCAGTACATCATGTTAGCAGTACAGAATTAGTTATAATTAATTCTTATGTAATCACAATGTCGTTGTAGGAGCATGCAAGGTAAAGGAAGGAATATACTGCATGTATTGTACTGTGTATATTCAGACATACATGTATATACACTATATAATGTATAATAAGCACTGCATTCCATTAAAGCTTTTTGTCCCTCTGCAAACTGCTGTCTGCTTATTAGATACTGGTGGTGATTTTCCATGAGTATCAGCCTGGTTGAATCTTTCTTTCAAATCTTCCAGGCAAATTCATATTTTTTTTTGCTGTTTGTTGGGTGCTTGTGCCGCCCCAGACACTATGCCACCCAGGGTAGTGAGCCATATTGCCTATATCATTAAAAAAACAAAAAAAAAAACATTTAGGTTTAACACCACAAAGGTCATTCTGGGACTAAAAAATTATAAGTCTTTCTCATGCAACTGGAGAAAATTCAGGACACTTCAGTGTTTTCAATGTAACCTAATGGAACTTTTTGGTACTTTGAAACCAGAACTTTTAAAAACCTTTCAATACCTCAGTACTGCTAACAGATCCATGCTTAATATTGTTTTTTACTTTTCTCATTTGTTTGCTGTTTTTGTTGTGACTGGCATTGTTGTTTCTCTGATTCTCTGGCCATTTTCTATTTTCTCTCCCTCTAGTCCTGCTTGTCCCTGTAATAGATGTGATTTCCCATTCGCTCTCATTTGTTGATAAAATCTGCCCAACACAGTAAAGCAACCAGAACCTCCCATACTGTTTGCATAAGCTGTCAGACCAGGACACAATAAGAAGATAAATAACAGAGTCTGTCTCTTGAATTATCGTCTTATTGTGGAACATGGACAATATTTAAAGCCACAGCTGTGTTGGGACTATTTGTGGCTGTATTTGTCAGTTTGGTTGAGTTATTTTTGCCATCTGTGCGAGCAGTGTGCTTCCTCCTGACACTAATCACTCAATTTCGGGACCAATTCTGTGTGGTAAAAAAATTACCCAAGTCAGAACTGTGTATTGTACAGTATTACTGCTGACCTCTTCCACCTAGTTAAAACATCCTGTGAACAGCAGCAGCATACAAAGTAAAGATATACACCTGGACTATTTGCAGAAAATTCACTAATTTACTCTCTCCATCTCCGAGATGTTTTCTATAATAATAAAGTTGAACAACTTGTGGCACACCTAAGACACATGTTTTGCCTATTCTTTCAGAATGTTACCAGGAAACAATCTGCGGAAAAAAGGGGGAGCAATTGTCTGCTGACCCTTAACCTGAGAGCCTATTACAGACTGTCATAAACTCTCTCCGGCCTCTATTTAAAGGATGGCGGCTCAGAATGTCTCTGTTGGGGTTTCTGGGAGAATTCAATGAGGGCCACCCAGAGCTTAATGCACAAGAAAGAGATGAATTCTGCATATCCCCATGAATTAGGGATCCATTTCTCATTTCATAGCCTCACTAGGCCAGATTAAAGTTTAAATCTTCAACCAAAAGAAATCACCCAGACTCCCCTCTATTTTTCTTTTAGGATTTTTATTTATTTATTTTTTTCTGTGAGCTTTTACTGTGTTTATAAATTCACTCTGGTTAATACTACGTTACTTATTTTCTGCATAAGTAATTTAACTGGACAGGATTGAGCCTGCGTTTTACTACAGCAGCAGACAGAAGTTCTCCTTTTTGAGTGCCAGGTGTCAGAGCTTTTCTGTGCAACCTGTTATTACATGTGGCACCATCAACAGACAGTGAAGTGTTGAAATCCTGCATTGTTGCCGTCACGTTTTGATGGCCGGATTCTCCGGTGGTCCTTGAGTATCTCAAGGAAATTGCCTGGGAAAAAAAAAAAAAAATGTGTCAGATTTTTGGATCAAATGGCATCCTTTTATTTTTTTTGTTTCCTTTTACAATTTCAAACCAAATCGATTATATGACCTCCACTTTTTATTTCCTTTCATCACAATATTTGCAATGTTTTTTTTTTTTTTTTTTTTTTTTAGCCTCTCCCTGGAAGGACTCTTTAATCTGCTAGACAGCATCGAAGGGCGACTCCACGGCGAGCAGAGCCACGTGTACAGAGATTCCTCAATAGATGGGAGACAACTCAATAGGATTATCAGGTACATCCTTCCTGTCTTTCTTCAAACTTTACAATCTTATCTCCCCCTGTCTAAATGGAAAGCCATGTAAATTTATTTAATAGCTGTGGAGCAGTTTGAGCAGACGAGAAAAACATATTATCCTTCTGCTGAGGGCTCTCACATTAGATGAAGTGTCATCACCATCAGGCGTGCGTCTTTATTTCTGAGGGGTTTTTCAAACGCATGGGATTGTTATAGTAACCACCCCGGCTCGATTGTTATTGGGAGTCATAGAGATAGAGGACAGGGAATGTGTTTCATTAGACAGGGCTTCTTTTTCATAAGGTTTTTATACTTCATAGCATGAATCATTTACCATAATTGCTGCTCCTGTCGTAAAGCATAAAAGAATAAATGTTGCACCAGAACAGGGCTGTCTAACTACATAGTGTGTACTTACCTCCGTCAGTTGTGCGACCGTTTGGTGTCACGACCCTCATAATGTTTAGTCGCGCTGATGTTTATGATTATGCTCGTTTAGGATGTTTGTTTGTCTTCGATGCGTTCTCCGCAATGCTGGCCTGGGGCTCACCTCAGGGCGCCATGGCAATAGCTGACCGCTTTCTATATATCGGGCAGCCTTTGTGACGATGGCGCGGGCTTGATTGACGAGGACCTTGAAGCATGTGGAACTGTCGTCCTTCATGAGCTTCGGAGGTTGTCATGGAGCACGGAGAAGGGCTGCGTCCTACCAGAGGAGCTGGTGAGAGCGCATCAGCCTAATGAAATAAGGTAAGCGTCAGTGGGTGTTTTTTTTTTTTTTACTATCATGGTGCCTCAAAAGTGATAAGAGGTATTTCTGTTTGAATTTTGTTAATTGTTGCAGTAGTGCTGAATTATTTTGTCTCAGTAATGGGTTTTTGTTATTGTTTGAATTATGCATTTACAATGACAATTGTGCAAAACTGTTTTCAATCTCTTAGCTTACTAGCTAAAATATTTACTAATTTATATTAATAAGATTATTTATTATTATTATTTTTTTAAAATGAAATAGACAAAGGTTCTTCAGTTTATAATAGCTTTAAAACAGACATCCAAATCATTATTGCTATAATAGCTGGAGTTCAATAGTTTTCTTTACTAAAAGCATTCTCTCACAGCAGAGGTGAAATCTGCTTTGCAGACTGAAAGTTCGCTGTATGTTCTTTTTTACTTTTATTTTATTTCTACCAAAGGCAGTTTCTGAGATATCGCATGTTACAGTTTGATCGGTCTCCCTTGTCCACAAACCCGAAAGGTCATCTTTGGTGTCACCTCACACGGCATGGGTGAATGTCATGAGTAAATTAAAATGCCCTATCTGCGACTTCCAGTCCTTTTGGATAATGCGCAGTTATACTCTGAGCCAAATCTATGTTCTGCTTCACTAGCCTATTGATTTCACTGAGACCTTTTCTATTATATACTCCAATTCTAAGAGACACATCCAGCAGCGTCGTCCTCTGGAGATGCCAATTGGTTGACCTCGACCTACTATCCTGCTTTTCAGCCTGAGGTCATACCGGTATCTGTGTCTATTCAGTGTTAACTGGAAATTAATCGATAATCTATAGTTCTGACATTGTTTATAGACGTTATGTTACAGAAAAAAAATATATAATTTCCACAAAACATCTGCAGAAATATTAACCTATCAAATGTAATTGGTCTAGTCAAACTTGCTCACATTTATGACTGCTTATGCTCATGATCTTTGTTTACATTTTTTTCCTAAAGAAGGCACATTTTTTGTTCATTTTTCTTGCTGCCCTACCCCCCACCTTAACTACAGCACCAGCCTCCCTCCCAATGCGGCTCGGCTGTGGGATCGCTGGTTCAAGCACGCCCTTGTGCTCAAGGAGAGCCGTGTCCTCAGCACTGAGCGCCTGGTCCAACTGTTTACGCCGCTTCTGCTGGAGCGTGATGCCGACTACAGCCAGCAGGTAGCGTCAAAGACACACATACTCTCTCATAGGGCACACAGAGAGCCATGCAGTAATAACACATCCACCCATTTTTAACAAGCGGACATGGCTTGTTATTATTCTTCTGTTTCTTTTTTGTTTTGCTTGCCCTTGGAAGAAAGTTTTGGTTTTCCTGCTCATGAGATTATTTTTTAATGGAGAGCCTTTTCACACAGCAGTAATTACAAATCACTCTCAAATGGTTCACTATTAAGACAATACTTGCTTTTAATTAAGGTTTTACTCATCAGCTGAATCAGTTTTAAAAAAAAAACATCTACTTTTTAAAAACTTTCTCTTCTTTTTTATTGTTTGACATTTTCCTGACACTCATGTTGCAGAAGTATTCATACAATGCTTTCACATTTTGTCACACTAAAGCCACTGGTTTCATTGTATTTTAGAATGGATTTTTGTGATAGACTAATGTAAAGTAGTTCAAGGTTGTAACCTGGAAACAAAAACGACACTTAAAAAAATATTAATGATAAAACATGTCATCTGTGACGGGATGTTGCTGCCTCCATTCTTGCTTTTCCACTGAAATATTAATGTTTGGTCTCATCTGTGGAGCACCTTCTTTCATTAGTTTGCTGCGCAAATACGGAAAGGTTTCAAGGGGTGCGAAAACTTTCATAATCAACATGAGATTGTTTACGATCACTGTCCAGCTATGGACCCTTGTGTTTTGCTCATTTGTTTTGACTCATATTACTGGGATTATTGTGGCTTCAATTTGTTGCTGCAGTACACCCGACTCAATGAAAGAGGCAACGAGGAAGGCTGTAGAGCCTCTTGAAAATATGAACTCACAAAAGAAAGAGGGGTACAGCCATCTACATCATTGTATCCAAGTGCATCAGAAAGAGGCTGAGTGAAATCTTTCTCTTCCTTTATTGCTTTGAGTCTCGCTCCATCTATTCCTCCCTCCTGCCCTCCACTCCCCCATCTCTCTCTTTATGTCCCTCTGTCCTCCCGTACGACCGCTCACTCTCTGCACATGGGCTCAGACAGACATTTCCATTCACGTCCTGCCACGCAGCCTGGCTACTCCAACAAATGGGAGCATGCAGCTCGCATGCACACACTCAAAGTGGCCCTTTGAATATTCAAGTGCTAACAGTTGCATTCATTGATATTTAAAATGCAGTGGATGAGCGAAAGCCCTCAACACACGGTACATTTAACTAAATCTAAAAAAAAAAAAAAGGGATTTTATGGACAAGGATTAAGACCGTTTCTTTCGCGGGAAAGTCAGATCGGCGTGTGTTTGCATCGTTTCCTCCTCTGAAAAAAAAAAATGAAAGCGTTCGCATTGTTGATCTTTTCTGTGACCTGCTGATAACGAATTACAATGCACTTAAGTTTTGTCACTGTCAAAATCCTCCTGATCATCCCCTTCATATTAGCGTTCATTTAAAGTTCCAAATGGCTGTCCAAGGCTGAGAGGCAGCCTTTGATCACAAAAGAGAGATCATGATGGCAGGATTTGATTTGGGTGTGGAGAAAGGAAATCTGTGTGTGGCATCTCCCTGAACAGCTTCTCTTAATTGTGTATCCTCATCACCACAGAGATAAAAATGAGCTGAAGAGGCGGGAAGGAGAGTAGTTTGTCTCGATCCTCTCAACCAAGAGGAAAGATATCTGAAACGTGTTGCACATGCAGGGTGATTGCATTCTTTAGAAAATTCTCTAATCTCATGGATGAGAAGAGAGGGAGTGAGAAAAGCTAAAGTGATTGAAGGGGAGAGCAGGCGCAACGGCGTGAGAAATAATCTTTTTTTTTGTTTTGTTTTGTTTTGTTAAACGAGTGAGGGGACTTTAAGGTTATTGGATGTTGGTGTATGAACACATATTATGGCTGCACCTCGGCGTGAGCAGCCATGGCCAAAGTTCAATTTGACGCTTCCTTCACAAAATGAGAACAATTAAGAAGGTGGTTTTAATTTGTGCTGTGCGCAGGCCAAAGTGTTGCTGAGGGCACTTCTCTCCCGGTCCAGTGAGGAGGGCCCCTCAGCAGAGGATGAGAGTGACTCTTCTTCTTTGTGCAATAATTCCTCCGCCTTGGCGGACGCAGACGTGGAGCCCTCCCGATCGGTACACACGCAACACATCCAAGGTAACTGCAGATATTTATATCGCACATCATGCTTACAGTGAGAGCTCTAATACAGTTGTATGCAAAAAAAAATGATACACTTAGTACAAAAAAATACAATAAAATCAGAGCTTTTAATTCATTTTAATAAGTTCTTGCATGTAATCAGATCTATAGGTTGCACCAATTGAACCGAGATTTGAACTCTGCTTCTTATGCCACTGTCAACTGTTGGTGTTTTCTTTTCCACAAATTTCTCTCCAGAAACTAATAAATAAAAGTAAAGAAAAAAAAATTATTTCAACCTTCCCACAGTAAACGGTCATCAGTTATTAATATGAGAAGCAGAGGTGATGTCCCACTGGGTGTGTTAGAGGGCATTTTCTTTAACATTTATTTATAAATAGACAATATAGACTGAAGATTTTCTGACTATATTTTGTCATTTTTATGAGATCAATAAAAAAGAGATTATATAATTATTTAAAAAATGATCCAAGTTTTTCTGGCAGTACATGTCACATACAATCAGTAAATAAATAGTCACATTATCTAATAGTCTTCTTCAGTGCACTTATTCTGTAGACGACAGACAAAATTTAATCATATTTTCAAAAATATTATTTATTGAAATTAAGTGGAAAAATTGACTAGACAGCAGAAGTACGCATCTTGACTTACAAAAACCATTACTTATCACAATAAATCTTAATTGTATTATTTTATTTTACCAGGTAGTTAACCATTTAGTAAGGTTAGATTATTGCAGAGTTTTAAGCTCACTTCAATTTATGCTAATACTTAACAGTCTGTGTTACTTTTGCTGCCTGATTTTGAAAGGCTTTTTCAAAAATCATTGTCAAACCCAGCACGTTCCATGACAATGGAGACTGAAGCTTAAAAAGGTCAAATACAGCAATGTTGCTGTCCTTGGTTCATCCTTCCTGTTAACTGTTACAATACTTTTTTTTTTCTCTTTTTCTGTATCTATCATGTTTGGAATCCAGGATTTTCCCTTACAGATGGAGGCTAAAAGCTTAAAATAAAATGGAGCAGTGTTCTACTTTCTTCAGCCTTCCTGTTATCTGCTGAAAGCCTTACCCTCTATTGCCATATTACAGCCTCAACAAACCTCAGGCATGTTTTGACATGTCATAGAAATAGTTTCTTTTTAAATAAGTCTCTGCTTCCGCTTGCTTCACTGATGCGGCGAAGAGCGACTGTTAAGTACCGTTCTCTGAGTAACAGCATCCACACTGAAGACTGCTTTGGTTAGAATGACATGGAACGCATCACCCAAAAGGACTAGATTTTTGAGCTTACAAAAAGCCAACCACTGGTCAAGGCCAAACAAGCTGGAAATCGTTCAATTCAGGTTCCATAGACAGTTTCTTTGATCTTCTTCATAGATGTAAACTCTTATTCATTGCTATTTTACTTTTGTTTTTTTGACTCTTTTATACAGACAAACATGCATGTTCTTTTGTGGAAAGCATGTTTGCAAAGAACATGTTATTTACTTTGCCAGTTTTTATGCAGTCTTTCATTCAGATATAAAGAAGGACCCCCTTACCAATTTTTGCCCAAGACTCACTTTCTCCCTTGCGTTGCTTCTCAGTGTGTGCTTTCCTTTCTTACAGAACTACAAAGCACTGAAGAGGACAGCCAGGACAAAAGCCTGGTGGAAAGTGGTCCTATTAGAGGTAAAAAGGCATTGCTGGTGCCTCAGCATTCACACTGTCCTTATGTTGTGGTTTGTTTTTCTTCCCACTGCAGTGAATAATGGGCTCCTTTACACAATGGCTGAGGCAGGATGATCAAGGTGAATCCAGGGTCAAAGTCCCACCTGAAGAGCCATGCTAGTTCTCTCTAATTATCTCCCAAGAAAACACTAGCAGTGTTTCCAGCCTGGTCCGATGAATTTTGGCAGGACTCATAATTCGCTGGCCCGGCATAATGCGGTTTGCTTTAATTGTCAGGGCGCCAGTGTAGGCAGTGCAGAAGATCTGTCATCGGTTCTCATTATCTTCTAAACAATGCTCCGGCAGGGCTGGACTTGAAAAAGTACTAGATGTGACGGCATCCTGGAAGCAGTTGGTGTGCCCATCCCTCAGCTCACCTCTGAAATGTAAAGCCATTCCCACATTACCCGTGGCTGTCCGATTTCCAACTGGGCTTTTCATGTCTTCGCATCCCTAAGGTCCACAGCCTGCAAAATGAGTCCAGTTTGAAATTGTACACCTAATCAAAAGAGCTATAACCAGCTTAAAAAAAAAAAAAAAAAAAAAAAAAAATTACTAAAGATTTTGCAAGGAAAAGATTTTGCTTTTCTGAGCAACATCAGTGTCGCAATCAAATACCATGACCTTGGAACTGAGAGTAATTGCTCAGAGATGTGTACCTGTAGCCTTAGTGGGTAGATGTAAAAACGGAGGCTGCGCAAAGAGCTCTGGGAGATTGCTATCCTATGTCAACACTTTCAGCAAAAAAATAAATTTTGTATTATTCAGTGTCAGAAACTGAATAATTACTTTTAAAACTAGTTAGGTATTGATAGATTTGGCCACAAGAGATCACAATATTATTTTCCTGATTTCAAATGTGGACATAATTTTCACTTGCATGGCCTTCTTCTGTTTTATTTAAGAATATTGTTTCAGTAATCACCCCAACTATACATTGTCTTAGAAAGTATTGACACCCCTTAAAAAAGGTTGGTATAGAAAGTTCTCACTTTCTGTCATGTTAGACACTCAAACTGAAATATATTTTAATGGAGTTTTATGTGATACACCAACAAAATGTTCTACATAATTGTGTCGTAAAGAAGTTACGAAACATGGATTTCATAATTTTATACAAACTAAAATTTGAAAAATTGTCATGCAATTATCTTTTCAAACTTTTCTCTATCGGCTTTGCTCATCTTCAGATTTTTGCCCCTCATTCTTTTATGCAAAATAACTCAGGCTACATCAGATTGGATGGAGAGTGTCTGTGAACATTTCCAAGCCAATCTTCTCAATTGGATTTAAGTCTGTACTTTGACTAGGTCATTCTAACACATCAATATGCTTTGATCTAAATCATTCCATTGCAGCTCCGGCTGTTTGTTGAGGGTCGGTGTCCTGTTGGAAATTAAAGTTCTGACCAAGTTTTATTTATTTATTAATTAAGTTTATTTGACAGGGACAGACGCACAATAAAGAAACTGAATAAAGTAGCGCTCCCATGCCTGTGTCATGGCGCTTATAGCGTAAGTTGATTTGCAGGACTTGTCCCTTGATGAGCTTTTATAAACAGTACATCTAAGATATGAAATAAGACTAAAATAATAAAATAATTAAAAGTGATGACATAAGCAATCACACACGAAGCAGAGTTTCAAGTCTTTTCCAGCTTTTAGGTTTCCCCCATATGTTTGTTTTTTCTCCTAGCCAGTGTCAGAAACACCAAATCACTTGAGTGAATGATTAGTAATCTTTAAACTGTAAGTGGTATGAACTTCTCTAGATCTATTCTAGTCATTCTGAAGACACCAAGTGCTTTTACACTTATCAGTTTCCGTCATCCAGTCTAGCTCACAGCATTTTAACGGTCATAAACCGATATGCAGATGGTACACAACTTTGGATTTAATCCACATGTGACAGGAGAGGCTGGAATCACAATACTGCTCTACTCTTTGATGGTCCATCATCTAAAAATCCAATTAAAATACATTGAAATTTATCACAAATTTGTATTTTTTTTCTCTCCCCCAATAAACACCATTTCTTCCCCTTAGATATTGTTTCCCAAGATATTGTTTCAGTCACGGGTATCTCACTCCCTTATCAGCAGTGAACCAAAAAAAACAACTAAAACAAAATTCATCATGTCGCCTCATCAAACACTAAAACCTGTGGAAGTCAGAAACCCGGCCTTTTAAGCAAATATGTGACCGTGACTTTGTATGTGTTTGTGTCTGTGTGTGTGACCCCTGAGCAGAGACAAAAGCATATCAGTTACTTAAACAGTCAGCCATGCAGAAAAGACTGCCGAGTTCTGAAGAGGAGGAGGAGGAAAGCAGCTTTTCGGGTGAGCGACTGCAACTTGATCATTTAAAATCTTAATGTCTCTTGTTTCCTCATTTGTGCATATTAAGAGGAGCCCAGGACTAGTTTTGAGCTTCCTTATAAGTATGAATGCAAGTATGGACGGTGAATTAGTCTGTGATGAGATCAATCAGGAATCAAATGGTTTTATCTGGGCTTGTTTGCTCTTTTAAGGAATAAATCATGGCCATGAAGAGGACCTGGGGAGGGCCAAACGCTCCTCACATCAAGACCCTTACCCTCGGTAAGAACATTGTTGTTATTCAACGGGCCACAGGAAATGGGCCACCAGACACTAAAGTGGTTGATGTACATTTGCATGGCGGCTCTCATAATTCCCTGTTCATTTCCATAAGATCAAGGGGGCGCCACCCATTAACTCGCTTACAAAGACAAAAGGCCCCTAAAGCCCCTCTTACTCACTGTTAGCCGGGTTCAACCAGGGTTCCAGGATTCAAAAGCAAATCAGCTGCCACGAAAAATAAATTGGAGCCGTAATACTACTGTTTCCAGCCTTGTTGTCAGAATGCAAACAGATCATGTCAAGAACAGAATCACCGAAAACTGTTTCAGAAGAAGGGGACTCGAGAGTCGATAAGGACAAATGTCCTCTCATTTGTCACCCTCCAAACATTATTTACCGTCTAATGATAACTGGCTCAGCAGAAGCTCACACCGTCTCGGTTGCATTTGAATATCAACACAACTTCATCAAATCTGCAATCGCTTTTTAGGTCCTCAGAGCGCCTCTTCACCACAGACCCATTTGGGCTTTAGTAATGGCTGGGTAAACGTTATGAGGAATAATCTTCTCTGATTTCATGTGATTACTGGGCAACACGCTGACACGAGGGCTGAAGTCTGTATCTCCCTGTCAAACAAGCGCTCCAGTCTGCCTATTAGTCCATGGAAGGGTCTAATGGCCTGGCTCTATTGTGGTCCTCCTCACTCTTGCCCCTGCCAGCTCCACTGACCAACGTATTTAATAAACATGAGCCAATTTTGGGAAAAAAAAAAAAAAAAAAGCCCTTCTGAGGTGGTGTCTGCCTCCCAGTCAGGGATGTGCATGTGGAATCCACAAAGTGTGTGATTAAACAAAATTTGCTGGGCAAAATGCTGACATCCCGAATGCAATGGTGAGACATAAGGTGTGTGTGTAAGTAAAATAGGACAAATGGGTAGTTAGGCATGCCTGACATTGTAATCTCCTCTCAGTTGGGAGAGAGAGACATCCTAATCTTCCCCTTGTCGTAGCACAGATATCTCTAATTTTTCCGCTGTGCTCTGATTTAAGCATTTTCCTTACCACAGCTACTTTTGCAGTTTATTGCTACCACAAGTGGTCTGGAAGCCTCACACTTCAACAGAAGCACAACACTGCAGCTTTTCTCCTTCTCTCCGTCTTTCTTGCCCCTTCCTCATCCCTCTTTGCCTTTTCCTCCCCTGTCATCCCGTGTTTTCCTCTCCCTCCTCTCCTCTCCCGCTTGTTAATTATTTGCTTTATTTTGTCAGCGAGCTGATGAGTGACTTCAAAAGGAGGACGGAGCTGGACTCGAAATATACAAAAATGGCTCCGTCTCTGTTGTCTTAGACAATAATTATGATTTGCCTGTTAAGCCTGGGACTACAGCAGAGGGATTGTAGTTTAAAGCAGAGGCTTTGGTACAAAAATGCATTTATAGCCCTTTGTGAAGCTCCTCATTATGTGTGGGCTCGATTCATTAAGTAATTGGTTTGCAGTTGTTTACATGAGTATTAAGGCCTTCTATTCAGGGCCTTTGAGAGATACATTGTGCAAATGTTGCATGTTATGAATGCAGAATGAGAGGCGGGGGGCCAGTGCTATTGGCCAAACACTGCTCCCGGCTGAAAAGCGAGAGAAAAGCTCTGGGTGCTGCTTTGCATAGTAATGACTCGGCCTTAATAAGCTTTACAGATTAAAAACATGCAGTCTATACAAGATGCAAGGAGATACTCTTAACACATTTATATGCGCTCATTTCTCCATTATGGAGTTGGAGAGATTTGGAGTCTTTCATATTCTTTTTTTTTTTCCCCCCTCTGCTTTGCTTTCTCCCACACAGCGTTTTTCAGTCTGATACTTTTTATGGACTGTTCTGTTTATTGTGTTATAACTTGCAGGGAGGCGGCTGATCTGCAACATTTATTACAGATTTTTTTTTTCCCCATTGTAAATCTTTTGCAGTCAAATCACTTTGTGGTTGAGTGGGGATGAAAAGAATAATGCACGAAGGAGTGAGTCTTAATAAGCAGCTGCACTCCATGTAAAGACCACTTGTTCCCCTTTGTATGCGAGTGCATGCCGCTGCTTCCTCTTGTGGAGGGAATAATCTTGCTTTTCTCTTCTGCAGGCATTTTTAGACGCCACTCCCTTCTTATTTTTCAGTTCAGGTTTTTAACTTACCATTTTAACCCACCCACCCTTTTCCACCCAGGAAAAAAAAAAAGAAAACATCCTCAACGCACGTGCAGACGGACAAAACAAAAGGGCGCAGCCGTCCAACGGGATAATAAGTGCCATGCCTAGAGCCTGCTTGACAAAAACCTTGACTCAACCATTAGTGGTTTACAGCTTTGGTTTGGACAACAGGATGTGCTCAAGCATTCGACCTCAAATCACTATGTGTCAAAATCAGAAGCTCTATCTGTCTCCCTTTAGACCCCTCCCCTCTGCCTCGCGTGAGGTGGGGGCTGCGTTTGCAGCATTGACGATTCACCTAAAAGACAGATGGAGGGCTGGAGGGGGACGTGAGCTGAGAGAGGGGAGGGAAAAGGAGGAAAAATAAAAACGAGAGCAGGAGTGGGGATGGAGTGGTCTTTCTGCTACAAAATCCAACAGTGAGCTAAGTTAAACAAAAAAGAAAAAAGAAGAAAAGCAATGTGGCACATCAGAAGGATTATTTTTTCTTTTCTTCTCTGAATGTGTCATTGTGGAAGCACACTTCATAGAAAAATAAAGAAATTACTAATTGTTTTCTGCTTTTTACACCAAACGTTGTTGGGTTTGCCACTTTCAGCTTAGGCAATAAGAGAAACCTAGAGATGCACCAATCACCTGAACCGAGATCATAATGAGCCAATTTTCTCCTTATTTTCTTTGATCAGCTGATTAGACTCTTAAAAATATTTTATTTTATTTTATTTTCATTGATTATATATAAAGAAAGAACTTTAAACACTTGAAGCACTTTCTAAGCACATAAAAATATATAAATATAATTTTTTTTTTTTTTTTTTTTCACAATAATGGAGATAATCTGGTAAAAATAGAAAATAAAAAACCTGTTAGACTAATACATGTATCCGAAACATGTATTAGTTTCAGGATTGGTGTTACATTTGGAATTGACAGGTCAGACCTCAAAGTAATCTGATATCACTCACACCTGATAACCATTAACCCTTACTCCCTAAAATAACTAAGAAGAAAGGCAGCATTTAGAAAGTCTGACCAGTGGAGGTCACTGTACTACACTTGCTTTTTAGGATTTAACATCTTGTGCGATTATAAAACATGCAATTCTATTTTTGACACGTTCTATTCTTGAATATTTCTGAATATTTATATCGGTGAGTTCAGACCTTGGAAGAAACAAGCCCCCAAAAGCACAAAATATACTATAATAAAAGGGCTGGTGTAATAGGCTGTAATAAAAGATTCTCTTTTCTAAAGTGTAGCTGCAGAAACAGCCAATCAATTTCTGCCACCCCTTGTCTGGGCTATAAAGCAACAGAAGCGCCATGAATGCGCTGCCCTTCATCCAGCCTTTACACCGACAGTCTCCACTAGACCGCCACCAGTCACTGGGAGAGCGTGTTGTGTTGAAATCAGTGGCCCAGATACCTCTCACGTTGAGCTGCAGTACTTGCTCGCTGCCAGCAGAGAGCACTCACACGTTGGAGAGCACCCACTCATGCTGCACTCACAGGCGCCTCTCACTGTTTGCCCCCACGGAGGGGCTACATCCTGCTACCATTCAGGCCCGTTAGAGCACATCTAAGCGGAGCCTAAACAATGTTTTTGCAGGGTCATAGCTGGGATGGGAGTAGGAGTTGATGGGAATGATGAGGTGATGGGTCTCCCTTTACCTTTAGACAAGCACAGCCGAGCAAAAAGTGCTATTGTGCTATTAGCATTTGTGCGTGGGCGACAGGGGCTTAAAAAAAAAAAAGCCTAGGATAAATAAAAGCAGGTTGTAGCTGTCGGCAAGGCAGTGATAAATGCTTGGTAAGCATTATTTTCCTTGACAGTCCTGCTTTTTCCTGGTGAGACTCCTGGATAAAATGGAAAATGCATCTTTGTGACTCTTGGACACTGGTGTTATGAATTTGCTTGATTTGCAGTTAAAGGTTTTATGGTTGTGTATTTGAGTATAGGCATTAACTCACCTCATACGCAAATTGCTGTTGCATTTGTTTAAGCATTATACTGTTAGGTGCATTAGTCTGAACACTTTTGTTGTAATTTGTCATTATTAATATAATTGAGTACTTTTTTAAGTGGCTGCAGATGCTGCTTGCAAATGCTAGATCAAATGAGAAATGGATTCCAAATTGAGAAATAGGTCAGAGTTCTTTTAGTGAGTTGTAAGTTGCTGTGATATTCTTAAAGTAGCATTGTTTCTTTCACTAACAATTATTGTGCGTGAAATAGGAGACAAGGACTGTTTATTAATGTAAATATTTGTATATGTTAACTATATGTCAGTGCATTTCTGACCTCAAATACATACACTACTTTATAGCGATCACCAAAAGCAATTCATACTTTCATGATATTAAAATTTGCTCATTTTTATGCTGTAACTTTTCAATGACTATATTATAAAGTGGCAAATAGAATGTGGTGGAATTTGAGAAAACTTTTAGTAAATGTAAGCTGCTTTAAGGGTATCTTGGTACTTTCCAAAATTAAACATAACACAAAAGCTGGATAATTATTCAGGCTATATGCTCCGGTAGCCAGCTTGCAATTGATTGTCTAAGCGATCTACACTTTTAACACCGCCTTAATAAAAGGGATGGCTTACCCTACTTTAGTTTAAAATTTCCTTACATGCTGGGATTTCTCTCAAACCAACTGAATTTAACTTCTTGTTTCTGAGGGACATGTGTACAGTTTTTTTTAATTTTATTGATCAATTATTTTCAGCTGACCGGCAGCTTTCAGCCAAATATGCAGCTTTATTCTGAAAAATACAGCTGGAAAAAAACCCCCTCAAAATTCTCTTGCATCTCTTTAAAAGCGACTTTGAAAGTTTGGAAAGGTTTGACATAAAATTGGCAAAAAACATAAAAAACTTTAAAACCTTGCTTTACCATGTAATGGTAATGGACACATGCCTAGTAGTAAAACATAAATTACCCTAAATCAAAGTGAGAACTAAAAATGTGTTTCCTCAAGATTAGGAACAACAAAGTCTGTGGGGTCAGTTTGGTTTTAAAGATTATTGGGAACAACTGCTATATTCGGAGATAAACAAGAACATGAAACAATTTCAAATCCCACATAAAGTGAACAGATACAACAATAGGGGGGAAATACATTACAACAACTGTAATTTGCATCATTTCACACATAATGTTCACCTCTGTCTTTCTAGCCTGTGAAACACATGCCAGCCAGTTCTTACATATTCAGATCATTGCCTCGTTTAAGGGAAATTCGGGAAAAGATGAACTGTGATAAATGTTTGTGGAGACTGAATTTTCAGGTCCGTGGGGTCAGATCCAGGCTTGGTTCATTGTGGTAATGATTCTGTCTTAAAATCAATACTGCGCCTCAGTGAAGTGGAATTGTTGATAGGCCGTTCCCGTTCTGTGGGGGGAAGTTCGAGAAAAGAAATGCGCAATTTGCTCTGTGAAACGGCTATTACTGCGGCAGAGGAGAGGAAGTAATTTCACCGATTATTGCTGTGTTTTTGCTGCATCGTGGTCCGCTTTGGGTCCTCTATACCGCAGCTTTAAATGACTATCCCTCCATTGGTGTTTTTGTTAAGCATTACTGTTTGAACTTATCTGTTGTTCAGCGTAAAAACATGAACACTACTATTGTGAGAGTTTCTCTGACTTTACAGGAACTCATTATCTTTATGCTGTAGCAAAGACGCAAAACCTGTTGCGTAACCATTTTCAGGTTTATTTACTCAAATGAAAGACTATTCATGTGTGTTCAAGTACCAAGCTTTTAAAAATTTGCAGCTGCAAAAATATGAAAATCTTTATAGTGTTAGTTTGCTAACGACAGCAAGGTACGAGTGACATGTCTACAACCTAGCTGACTGCAAATTGGCTAACTGAGCAGATACTCCAGCTAAACCATCGAATATCAGCTAATATCTATCAAGAGCAAAACAGGAAATATGTCAAATATTCTACTAATACTACTTTATGTAGTAAGTGTTTGTTAAATATTTGTGCTGAACATTTCTGATTTTCAAAATTTCTGAAATGACCCAAAGTGGACATTTTACCCATTGCATTTGCTAGTTTGCTAATTATCTGTTCTTAACTTTCACATTTTTTGTATGCTTCAATGTATTGTCTGAACAAATTTATGAACTATTCATTTACTAGGAAACACTCTTATATGAATTTACAGGTTATACTGCGGTGATTGTTATGTAGTTTCTAACACAAAAGCAATCTTCCAGTTTGGCCAGGGAGGTTCATCGTTTTTTCTCCTTTCCTCTCGAGTCTTGCAAAGCACCAATGTATAGTTTTAAGCATGAGCAACTGGAATGGAGCCAAGGTAATTTACTCCTCATGCTCGTTCAGTCATATGTGCCAAGATTTAGCGGAGGAGATGAGGGTGATTGAGAGGACAACAATCAAAGAGGTCATGGGTCTGTAGTGATGCAGATGGAAGAAATCGTAACACAGCTCTTTTTCCGTAGTGCAACAAAACAAACTGCATTATTTCTTACTTTCTTCAAAAAGTAAAAGATAGACATTTCATCTATGTGTGAAATAGATGACGGAAAAGCCATGTGGATCTGTACGCTAACCTGGGAGACGATGGGAATATGATGTAGGGGCTTTGAATAGGCTCTGTCATGATGTAAATTAAAGAGGACGCCTTTAAAAGTGGAGGGGGTGGCCTTATTGCATATGCATCGAGGTAGATCAAAGCCTTTTCGGAGGTCACACATTTACATAGCGATATCACCGGAGCTATGGGAACCTGGCAACCCGGTCTTTGGGCTATTTTTGAATAAAGAGGGCCTTGTGGAAGTCTTTTGCCGTCAACAAACTTCCTCCCGCTTTAGTGTCTGAGTATAGCTAAACCTTATTCACTTCTGTGTGGCAGAGTTGTGTCAATTTTGTGCAACTGATTGATTTGTGTCTCTTTATTCTCAAAGATTCTGAGTGATTTTTACGTTGTATGTTTTATATTTGAAGTATAAACTTTCAGCTTAGTTTTTAATGTACTGTGTGCACAATTACTGATTTTGGTGTAAATTTTATACTTGCATTTTTTGTGCGGAAAAAAATAAAAAATTAAACTTTTACCTGTCTACTAACTAGCTCTGTATTTCCAGGAAAGGAAGTTCAAAGGTTCATTCTGCTTTGCAAACAAAAGGTGAGTGTAGACGCTGGTGTCTAATGTAATATATGTTAATTACACCAAACAGACCACCATAAAAAAATTGCCTGTTAGCATAGTGGAAATTCTTGTAAAATTGGAGCTTCACAAAAACTCTCAACCGTTTGATTAAAATTTTCTGTGATTGCAGCTGAGTCTTTTGAAGGAAAAAAAAAATCTTGAAGCCAAATCTAGTCCGCTGAAAGCTTCTTTTGAAGCCACTTATTCAGATGATAAACAACTAAAACGACCTGTTTGGGGGAAGATTCTGCCTCTTATTTATTTATTTTTTTATATAAATATACTATCATTTTTATTGTTTTATAATTTACTACTAATAGAGGAGAATGTTTTTGGCTCTTTTGGCTAGCAGACTGGTAAAAATAAATGATAAAGATAATAAAGAGCAAAGAAAGCTGCTTTTATTTGTGTTAAAAGTGAAACTGGTTTTATTTTTATTTATTTTTTTTGCAATGTTACATAGCGCTCTCTTAATATTGTCTTTTTTAACTTTGTTGTTTTTGCAGGAGATCTTGCTTTAATCATGTGATTTTGTGTTTTGTAAAGACTTTTGGCAGGAATCTGATGACAGCGACTTCGAGATTGAAGCGGCCCTACGTCCTCCGACTTTCAGCGCAAGCAGTGATGGCACCCATGACTTTTATCATTGATGTTTCTGCAATGCTCCGTATTATATCAGTGCGAGACACATGGCAGATCGGCTCTTAGTTATTCACCCCCTGACCATACTTTTATTGGTCTGCATTCTAAATCATATGCACAGCATATTGTAAAAACAAATAATAAAGTTGACAGCTCTCACGCTGGATAAAGTATGTGAAGAGTTGTCCAACGCTCTGATGTTAACCCCGCTTCAGTCTCTTTATCTGAACAACTCTCCCGGCTCATAATAACAGCTCGAAATAGATTAAACTGATCTTTTAAAGTGATTTGTTTGCACTGGGCTGAAAATCCTGCATTTCGAATGCTGCAAGCATCTCAGAGTGCTCTACTTGCTGCAAGCTGGAGTGTAGTGATGTGAGTCACCTGTGAAACGACAAAGCACAATGGCCACTCTGCTCGCTCCGGTGTGACCCGTGAACCCGCTGAAGAGGCTCATCTCTCAGGGCACAAAGTGTAGCAGCGCTAGCAAACTCAGAACATTTAGAGACCCCAACAAATGCTCTAAACATTTTCTTAGGGCCGGAACAGATTTGTGAACTGAAAGTACAAAGATGTGGTTAAAACCTCTCTCTTTTAGTGTGCTAATGACTCATAAGTAGCTGAAATTATGCTTATATTGCAAAATAGTCTTCTGTAATTTAGGATTTTCCCGCACATTGAACACCCTGTGTCTATTATTAACTGTGTGGGAGGCTACATTCCAAGGTTTACATTTATAGTTCATTATTTCTGCCGTGTAAAATTTCCAAGCTGAGATGTGGTAAAAGCCCCCTGGCACACAGTGTCAGCAGGATTCCATTAGTCAGCTTTTGGTGACTTTATATGCCTGAACCTTTCAAAGTAGGACTCCACATTCATTACCAATAATGGCTTCAGTCGGCCCTGACCCAGCACAGGAAAGGGAATGGGGCAGAGCAATTTACAGTTTGCTAAAAGGTTCCCTAACATAATATCCAGTTAAGGAGCATGTCAACAGATACTTGTGTGCGACTGATGGCTCATGGTGAAAGTGGAGTTATATTGTACTAATGTGTACTAACAGGAATATTTTTTATGAAGATCTTCTTTGAGTCTGTGCCACTGAGACAATTGGGATGCTATTCATATCATTTCTTTCACTCTGTTATTGGCGCAAGTACGTGTTGCAGTTAAAAATGGGATTTCAGACTCAGGTTGTCAATGGATGGAGCTCGTCTCTTATGCTTGTTTGGTTTTATCAAAGCAGCTCATGTTTTTCATTGACATTTTTACCTACATTGCCACTCTGAGGTTTACATACATTCATTGTTGCCATTAATGCTTTTAACGTGGGACCTTAAATGATTCGAACTGTCCCTTTATAAGGTGCAATAATATAATGTAATATTGCTTCAGTTAATTTTAAAACTATCAATTTGATGCACAGGCTTGAGTTTATTTGGAATTTTACCTAAACGTGGGTCAAAATCATAAGGACAAGCTCAACTATATGCAGGCACAGACCTGACTTTAAAGCTAGATACTTCATACATTTAAGTCTTGTTCAGGTTGAGGCCAAACGAGAAGCTTAATGTTGCTTTTTTAAAGCAACGATTCTGTCCATGTTTAATTCATACAACCCAAACTGCCACCATCAAATGAGATACAAGAAAAAAAACTTATCAAAATGCTTTTTAGCCAGCTGCTGGATAGAAAATCTTGGATAAAATTGGTTGTGGTATCAGTGCAGTGATCCCAAAAAAACAGGATTTCCCCCCCAAACTGGTGTTGGAATGATTAAAGCAGACTGAAAATACCCTGACTTCAAATCAATCAAAAATATCAAAGCACTAAATCTAAAAGCCTTTTAAACCAAGCTATGTTCTTTTTAATAGGAACAGTGTTTAAATGTCCAGTCGCCAAGTTCATTGGTGAGAACAAAACGTTATTTGTTTTTTTAGCAATTTGAGAAGGGTATGTTCAAGCATGCATATACAATTTTGACTCTGTGGATTTGAGAAATTCTGCCCCAAGGCTGAAATTGAAGTTGAAGGCTACATAAATGTGTAATTGTTCCAAAAAAAAAAAAATAAATAAATTGAAAAGCATCCTTAAAAGCCAAATAGATCCAACATTCATGCCTATGATCAGCATACAGTAATTGATTGGCACGGTACACTATGTTTTTTAATGCAGAAATGTTTTGATAAAAATTGTTTAATTTTATGAGTGCCAAAATTTCAAAAGCTATATTTTTTACAGATACTTTACATATGTTTATTGAAACTAATAAGAGAGAGAGCAAGGAAAGATGTTTTGAATGAGTCAATCTTTCTTGTAACCAATGAAGTCCCCTAATCAGCTGTTTCTGGGAAAGTAAACGGTGAATGAGAGCTGTGTCTACACATTGGGAGGAATGTGTGCATGTAAAAATGTGATTCGTGATTCGTATCTTTGGAGACTTTGCTAAAATATGTAATCAGAAACAAGGGAAATTCACTACTATGAGTGATCCCTCACTCAAATGTTAGGTTTTTTTTTAGGATTTGAATTATTGCCTCAGAGAGAAATGCCAATATATTTGCATAATGGTCCAAAAACTTTTTTTTTTGTTTTTTGTTTTTTAAGGTTAAAAGACCTTTTCAGTTATTTCCTCACTTTGGGGCAATGTCTTTCACATAGGCCTCCAAATTACCATTGATAAAAGGAACATGCATCGCTAGGGAAAGTAAAATAAGGCAATATTGTGTAAATCTGAAGCTGTTTGATGGTGTAGCTACACCAACAAACATAAGTTGAAATCTAAAATAAAAATAAGAATGTAAATTTAAAATGTTTTCCTCATTCATTCAGCTAAATTAATAATTTCCTTATTACTGGTTCTACCTTTGAGTTGTATTTTTAGCATTTGAGCTTTTTGTTGTTACTTCTCATTCAGATCCATCTATTTTACTTAATAGGTTATGTTAATACTCATGTATGTGATAATTATTTACTTGATTTTCAACCTCATTATAAAAATAATTATAGTAAAGAACTTCTTCCATGAGGACTCTTGAGTTGTAGAAATATTTTTTGTCTTTATTAAATGAAACAATTTCCTAGATTAATTCAACATGTCTGGAATGAGCGTCTCGATTTCCATTACATTTCAGATTAAAGCCAATTATGAGAAGTGGTCAGCTCATCATATCTAATTTTTTTGTTAGAACTCTGCAATTTGAAATAAATGCTTCCTGTGTAAGTGTGATGAAAAGCTGATCTTGCTAGTAAAAGTTTCTTTTCATTGTGTCCAAATACATTTAGTCTTTTTTACAAACAATATATTTTCGGAGTGATTTAATGGAATTAACACTTATTATTTCATACATGTAAAGTGGAAGGATAATTTTTTATTTTATTTTTACAAATAAAAACTTGAAAAGTCCAGTGTACATGTTTACTCTGGTTATTGATTAACATCTTACAGATCCACCTGTTACTGTTATAAGTCTTCTTGGATTCGTCTCTACCAGCTTTCCACGTCTAGTCGTAATTGTTGTCCATTCTTGCTAAATAGATCAAGCTCTCACTCAATAGAGAACATCAGTAAAAAGGCATTCTTTTGTCACGGTTTGAGTTTGATTTTGGTTTGGACTTTAACTAGGCCATTTTAACACGTGACGTGCTTTAGTCTAAAACAGCCCATTGTAGCTCTGGCTGTAGGTTTAGGAATCATTCACCTGCTGGAATGTGAATCTCCACCTCAGTCTCAGGTTTCTGGCAACTTTAGGTTTTCTCCCAAGATTTAGCTCATCTACTCAAAATATTAAAATACAAGGCACGATAGTTATTTTGAACAAGAAAAACTAAATAAAAGTGCCTGTTGAGGCTGCTTCACTGTAAGTCAACTATTTTTCCCTTTTGCTCTTATATAGAATATTTATTCATTCATAGAATGTTGTAGATGAGAAGAAACTCACAGCTGAAGCTTACTTTTTCAAATTCCAATGTCACTTTATAGTTGCCGTCAATCAAAGTAGTTGACCATTACAATATCGTCTATCAGTTGCATGTTGAGTAAATACAAGCCTTTCAGTAAATGGAGTGATGCACTTGTGATACACAGAGAAGCTCTCCTGACTGACAGGTCAAGGTCTGATATAATGTGGTTTCATTAGATGTACATGCCTGCAGAAGCAGCTGTATTCCTGCTTGACAATCAAGTAACATTTCAAAGCTGATTTAAAAGAAGAACCAAACATCGAAAGCCTGCTACCAAACAGCGGGCAGAAAATGGGAAAGAATGGCTTCCCCATTCCAGTTTATTCAGCCTCATTTTACCTACAAGTTTACGGCATGAAAGGAAGAAATACTGTGATATGTTGAGATGCTCAGACTTCTGATTGCACTCAAGTCCATTATTCAAAATACAACATATCTTGTGGCTGCATTATGGTGCACCGCAGTTGGAGAAATTGTGTCCTGTACTCCAGATCTCCATGTTTGATTGTTGAGCAGCGTTGCAAAATGGCTCTTCAGTGTGCGGCTTCCATTCTCCACACCACCCTACTCTTACTTTGCTCTGAATAATCATTTAAAGCAAGGTCATTTTGATCTTCTGCCTCAATAGACCTCAATTAAATATTCATTCATTCTGATGCGGCCTCTTCTGCATCTTCTTTGGTATGTGTGTTAAAGAGACAAAAGCTTTTGCGTTTGATTATACAAGCCTGTGTGTGTGCGTTTTTTTTTTTTTTTTAAGAGATCAGACATCATTAAACCTAGTTAAACAATCCTTTACCCCCGATCAACTGTGTTTAGTAAAAATGTTTGCCTAAGCTATTCTGATTTATGTCCTTGAATGTTTGAAGAGAAACAGTTTGTTCAGTTTAGAAAGCTCCTTTAAGCTATGTATCCAAGTCTTTTGTTTATGATGTTTCATGCTCTGCTGCACATCCGTCAGTAGGTTGTTTTAAAGTTTGCAGAAGGTTTAAAAATGGCAATGTTATGTGAAAGATTGAAACATATTACCATTTATAGAATCCAATGCATACAATAATTCTCATAGAACATTTAGTGACTTTGTAAGTCAAGTAAATATCCAATTTTTAGAGTTACATTGTGAATGTCTTAAGTTGATACCATCATTCCAGGTTAATTATAGCAACATGTTAATGTTGACTCAGTTACAGTTGAAACCACATGTTTACATGCATTGTATTAAAAATGTATCGCCTTTGTATCAAAACACCTGCAAATGATGTCTCATCATGGGTCAATAGGCTACACAATCATGTCAAAGACTGATGACAGTCATCAACACCCTTCGCAAGTAGGGTGTGTGTTTGTGCGTTTTGTATTTGATACATTTTCCAACAAATGCTGTGTTATGAGTATCAATAACGCTGTATGGGAGCCAAAGCCAGGGCCTTATAAGAAGAGCTGCTGTTTTTGGGTTGGGTTTAGAGTTAAAGTGTGAATTGAGCTTTGGTTAGATTTAAGTTTAGGCATGTACTGTCCTCTCAAGGCTGTGTGTTATCCCTGTTGCTGACGCAACTTTCATGCAGTTTACTTCCTCTCGACTTTCTATGAATATGCGTGGATACAAAACTGTGAAAAATCAGATTGTCTAGCATCGATCTTTGTGCCCCTCCTTGCGGATGGGGTCAGTGACTGTTTTCTGGACATTTGTCAAGTAAGCACTCTTCCCCATGATTGTGTTGCCTGACCAGTGGGGAAATTCAGGTATACAAGCAGCAAAGTGAAAGGCAAATGGAAGCATGTAGATTCACATAATGGTAAAAATATAAAAAAATAAAAATGAGACACTGTGTGCTAAGGGCAACTTGACAGCACCAGAAAAATAATACTATACAGTTATAAGAAACTACATACTAAATAACTACAAGCTGTATGTATGTTATGGCTGTGTAATTTTATCAGTTGTACGATATTTATCAATATTTTTTTTGTCCTCAAAAAGTATCAATTTTTCATCTGCGAGTATCAATACATTAAATCCTACTTTAAGTTTTATGTCAAATCCACATGAATTAAATGACAACTATCACACATGACATTTCTTACCCAGTTGCACATGTACACTAAAAATGACATGTAATTAAACAACCACTTACAATGAATTAAATAATGAAATGAAATGGATAAATTACATTACATAAGTGAATAAGACAAAAAAAGGTTCCTTTTCTCCATAACCAAACACACAAAGCTCCATAATTAACATTTAAACAAAGCAAATGTATGACAAAAAATAAATAAAAAATACACCAGTATTACACCATCAATTAATTCAATCCAAGTATATGGAACAGTCAGAAAATGTCACCAAAATCACTCTGTCCCTCTAAAATCTTTCAGAAATGAATGTATCAAATCACATTATTTGCCGAATCTTGTGATATATATCGTATTGTGAGCAGAATATCATGTATTTTATTGTATCATAAGATTAATGTACCGCTACAGTCTTAATGTGTATATGCTTAAAAACTGTTCTTTATAAGAAAGTAGAGTGGGGATTTGAGCAACTTATTTTTAAACATTTTTTTTTTACAGCTATTGGGAATGTATGGTTGTAGATGTCAAGTTTATCTCGTGAGTATACTAAAGTGAATAAATATACAAAGAAACCACTTTATCACACAAGGTTGTCGAGAAGGACGTAAAGAAAATAGGTTGTATTCGAACGTTTCAGCACCGAGGACAGTTCTCTGCTCTGCTCAATAGGTGGATTCACTGACCGCCAGTTCAGCACCGCAACACATAGATAGTTTCAGGCAAAATACGGCAATGACTTAGTTTATCTATTAATTTATTTCTGTATTTATATATATATATATATATATATATATATATATAAATATATATATATATATATATATATATAATTGACTCATTTTTGCATTAAATCAAAAATAAAATTAGAAATAAAACCTACAATCTCCAACTAAATGCAGTCAGCCCCACTTAAAATTTATTTAAGAACATTTTCTTTCAAATCCAACCTGGATTCGGTTCAATGAACTGAATCCAGGTTGATTATAATCAACAGGACATCTAACAACCTGCTCCAGAAC